AGAGGGCTTCGGATTCCCCTGGAACTGGAGTTAAGGACGGTTCGTTGCCACCATGAGGGTGCTGAGAATCAAACCTGGGTCCGCTGCAAGAGCAGTCAGTGCCCTTAATCGCTGAGCCATTTCTCCAGCCCCTTTTTTTTTTTTTTTTTAATTGTATTTTACTTTATTTTATTGGTATGATTTTTATTAAGTTCTACAAAGTAATGAGTTATTTATTATTGTATTATCATATAAAGTAATGGGTTTCATTGGCATTTTCAGACTTAATATCCTTTTTCTCTTTTGTCTTTTTGAGACAGGGTCTCCCTGTAGCCCCCGCTGACCTGGAACTCACTCTGTAGACCAGGCTGGCCTCAAACTCACAAAGATCCACCTGTCTCTGCTTTCTGCGTGCTAGGATTAAAGGGGTGTGTTCCACCACATCCAGCTTCAGAATGATGTGTCTTTGTGCTTTGTTCTAACTCACCCTTTCCTTCCCCTCCTCTGTCTTCTGCGTGCTAGGATTAAAGGGGTGTGTTCCACCACATCCAGCTTCAGACTGATGTGTCTTTGTGCTTTGTTCTAACTCACCCTTTCCTTCCCCTCCTCTGTGTCCACTGCCCCCTATGGATTGTTCCTTCACATTGTAAAATAGGGGTTTTTGCTTTGTTTTGATTTGGATTGGATTTTGCTTCTAGAAAATACGCAATTTTAGTGTATTGGACAATCACGGTTAAAAGTCTACATAGTATGTAAAATTGGCCCATACATATCGACCGGCAGGGGCCGGCTGGCTAGTTACGTCACGCAGGCCCGCCTACTGCTGGGTAGTGCCTGTGGCTGTTTTCACCTAGGTGTTCTGCTGTCTCCTACCTCAGGATGCTCCTCGTCTGGGTGTGCTAGGTCGGACCGGGCCGGCCTCACGCCGAGTCCGTGGGGCTCCTCTGTGGTTCTGATCGAGGACGAGGACCATGCGCCCGGCCGAGAGACGTGGGCTGAATCTGCGGTCCTGAGTAAGACAAAGTCAGGGCTCCCCAGGCCTTTCTGCCTGGGAAGCAGGTGCTTGTGGCTTTGCATAGTGTCTTCCTAGCATGTGCTCAATGACCATATCATTTCTTAGGGTAGAAAATTTACAAATTGCAAGGGCCCGCGTTCCTGGCTTTCAAAATATAGCATGGTTGCATGCCACATTCATTTATGAAGTGGGTTTATTTTTAATAACTTTGATGGCAGAGTGGGCAGGATAATATCTATTCCTTGCTCTAATCTAAAGCTATTTATTAGGAAAAACCAAATCAAACCAAAGCCTTTGTTGCCCTGAGTGGTTCTGCCCGCCTGGAACCTAAGACTTCCTGGAGGCTGAAGGAGGACCAGTTCAAGACCAGCTTATCCTTTGCAAGACCCTGTTTTAAAGAGCACAACAAAAAGCCAACCTTTTTGCTCCTCATTTATTTACATGGTATTTTTCTCAAAACTGCCCTTGCCATTCATATTTTCAGTTAAGATTCAGCAGGGCTGGATATGGTGTTTTATTGTTTTTATTTTTGAATTGTTCTTGCTCTGTAGCCCAGACTGGTTTTGAATTCCTGACTCCTCAGCCTCTAAGTATGGTCTTAAAAAAAACTTGGAATCTCTAGTTCCTGGCTCTTTTATTTTCAACTTTAAAAAATCAAAATAGCCGGGTGTGGTGGTACACTCCTGAGCACTTGGGAGGTGGAGGCTGATGGATCTCTGTGAATTCAATAGCAAGTTCCAGGCTAGTTGGGGCTACAGGGATACCCTGTCTCAAAAAGACAAAAGAAAGAAAATCAAAATAATTGGAGGGGTGTATACTTGTTTTTAATTTTTGAGACAGGGTCTCCCTGTTGCCCCAGCTGACCTGGAACTCACTATGTAGACCAGGCTGGACCCAATCTCACATAGATCCACCTGCCTCTGCCTCCTGAGTGCTGGGATGAAAGGGCTGTACCACCATACTGGCCAAAAACCACTTCTTGTTAATGTTTTAAATATATTTGTCCAAATATCTTACTGTGTACAGTAAAAATATTTTACTTAGTCTGTTGGATTCTAATTCTGATTGAGTGGTTTATCCATTGAACATGGTAAAATGACTATATTTGTACAATCATATAACTTTAAAAGCTTTTTTTGATTTATTTATTTTTATTTTATGTGTATGGTAATTTGCCTAAATGTATGTAACTGCACCTCTTTCATGCAGTGCCTATGAAGAAGAGTCAGATCCTTTGGAACTGGAATTATAGACTGTTTTTAGTTACCATGTGGGTGCTGGGAACCAAACCTGGATCCTCTGGCAAGAGCAACCAGTGCTCTTAACCTTTGAGCCCTCTCTCCAGCCCCTGTACAACCCTTTTGACTGTTCCTAAAACACATTGTCCAATATGGGTAACTTTCACAAGTTTTAGACTTTATTTGGTATAATCTGAATAAAGTAGATATTTACCAACTCCCTGAAGAAAATTAATATTTTATGAAAATTTAGTGAGCCTGTTTCAGTAGAAGAATTTCTGTCTTACATCCTTCATCAAGGAAAACTAATTTTTTTTTCATGCGCTAGACAGTGGCTCCCTTCCTTTCTTCTGTGAAGTTGTTGTGAGAAACAGTAGTTTGTGAAATTCTTAGTTTTCATTGTTTAAATTAGGAAAAAAAATTCTTTGGTACTGGTCAAAGCTTAGTTTCCTTTAATTTTAGATTTTTAATGAAGGATGTAACTCCTGTAATGATAGTGTAAGTGTGCCATAGTAACTACGATGAGCTGTGTTTCCCTCAGTTCATGTCAAGAACAAAATAATGGACAAAAGGAAAATTTCAATACTTTTTTTGTATTTTTTAGCTTTTAGTCTTCAGTTAATATTTATTTAAAGGAAAATTCTAGAATATAGTAGAGTATGAAGATATGGAGTAATGTCCATATTTCAAAAATCAAGCTATAATATATGTTGGAAGAGCAGATAAGTTACATTATACCATGAACTAAAGAACTGTTAAAAAGTATTGACTGTTAAAAAGTAATGTTTGGAGACATTTTTCATATATGTTCAAGTGAAAATTTATAAAAGAAATGCGTATTGACTGAGCTTCAAGTAAATGTAAACCACATCACAGTTAATCCTTGTTATTCTTATTTTGAGTGTCCACAATAGGAAGTTTGTCCTATGATTGTAGCTGTCCAGAGGGTGGGAACAGACGCAAGTGCATAGAATAACATGACCGGAGAAAGTGAAGACAGCTTATGGACACTGAATGAGCCAGGCAGTGCCATTTAGGGGTAGTGTTGGGTACATAGTATGGCTTTTTTTCTCATAGAGAAGGCTGTAGACCTTCTTAACATGGTGTGAGGTTACTCTTCCGAGATCTTAAGTACTTTCTCCTGTGTTGTTGTCCTATGCTCAGCCAAGCATGGCATCTGAAGATGGTTGCCACACCACCGCCACCCCCGGCATTCTAACTGAGAAGGGGAACATGTGGCTCAGAGGCTCTTCCTGCCTGCCATGTCTCCCACTCCCTAATGAGTTTTCCTGGGAATGTCTACCAGAGACTACTGTTTCCACAGAATTACAGCATGCAGTTCTTGTCCGCTGAAAGCCTGAAGATGCATGTTTTTTTCCAAGCTGGGCTTAGTACTGCTGAAATAAAAGTGGTTATGTTGACAATGAAGAAGGGAAAAGATATCAGAATAGTAAGTAGCAGGTATCTGCCCAGGTGGCTTTCCCTGACTATTCTGATACTTTTTATTATAAAGTTGAGACTGGCTAAGGAAAGAAAGACTTTGGGAAGTGGGTGAGATGTTAATGGTCCTAACTTCCGATGTTTTGTTTCTTTCTTTCTTTCTTTTTTTGGGGGGGTGTCTTTTTGAGATAGGGTCTCCCTATAGCCCCAGCTGGCCTGGAACTCACTGTTTTGTTGTTTTTTAAAAATATATATATTTATGTGGGGGGCAGAACAGGGGTACATGCCACAGCACTTATGTGGAGGTTAGAGGATGACTTGTGGGAGCCAATTCTCTCCTGTTGTATGAGTGAGTGCAAGGATCAAACTCAGGTCATCACCAGACTTGGTAACAAGTGCCCTTACCTACTAAGCCATCTCACTGGCCCATGATGTTTGGAGTCTTTAGACACTTTGAGCTTTCTCCCTTTCATGTATCCTTAAGACCACTGTTTTCTAAAAAGTCATAGGTGGCAGGTCTGTGAAGTTTTGCTACTTTTTACAGGTCTTATTTGTTAGGTCAGAGAAAAGTAAAGAGCTGGTACTGGTACTGAAAGTTTGGGCTACATGGGGAGAGGCTGTGGTGTTATATGTTGAACCTTTTCTGAGTCTTGTTACCTCAAATGTAAAATATCCTCTGACCAGCTGTGCTTGCTTCAGAGGGTTTTCATGAACATGAAATAGAAGTAGAGCCTATGTTTTTGTATAGACTGCTTATATTTAGGATATCAAATAGTATAAGATGGTCCAAAATCATAGACTCATATCATGGTACAGGTTAGGTTGACCTTAGGACTTCTCTCTCAGATAATATATGATAATGTCTACACCCCATTAGGTCACATTACTGCTATAACTAATTGCTCTGTAATTCAGTATTTCATGTTATCCAGTTCAGTAGTTCCACACAGACCTAACTTGACAGGTAAAAAATATAACAGTGGCAGTGGAAGAATGTGAAGGTCAAATTAGATAATGTAAGTAAATTTCTCTAAATGACACAATATAGTTGTGGGATGCAAACGATGGGAAATGAGTTCAGAGTGATTGAATAGGACATCATATAATTAAACTGGGTATCACTTTTACCTGTTAATAGCCATTTAACCTGAACCATTCTCTTAGTTGGTCAACCAATACAAATGTTTAAGAACCATACTTTAGATCAAGTATGGTTACTTACACCTGTAATCCCAGTGCTTGGGAGGTTGAGGCAGAAGGATTGGTGCAATTTCACTGCTAGCCTTAGATTCAGAGTGAGAACCTTTGTTAAGAAACAGAAGTATTGTTGTGTAAGTCAAACACAAATTTTTAGAAAAAGAACCTAGCAGCCAGGCGTGGTAACACATGCCTTTAATCCCAGCACTCAGGAGGAAGAGGCAGGTGGATTTCTGTGAGTTCCAGCCCAGTCTAGTGTACATAGTTTCAGGCCAGCTGGGGCTACAGGGAGACCCTGTGTCCAAAAAAAAAAAAAGAGTAAGTATTTTAGCAGTTTCTAATCATCTGTGATTTCCTGGTTCTCTATTGTTGTATTATATGTTAAAGCAGTGTGTTTGCTTTGCACATTTATTGATGCGAATACTTTAAAAGCTTAAAAGTTAAGAACTGTTTACCAATAGATAAGCAATTTTGAAGTTTTCAAGAACTTTTAAGAATAAGAGTGTATCTTATAAGTTGTATGAATTTTCTATTTTCCCCTCTTATAGTGAGTTACCAGAGAGAGAAGAGGGTGAAGGAGAAGAAACGCCGAACTTCAGTCACTGGGGTCCACCAAGAATGTAAGTGCGCATCATCATTACAGGCCTTGGTGTGAGTGCAATCTTGCTCTTTTCTCTAAATTATTTAATGTGTAATGATTGAGATTTACAATAATTAATGTCTACTCACCTGAATTTCTATTCCCTTTTGTCTTACCTGGTGACTTTTAGACAGATAAAAGACCATAACCCAATGCTAGCCAACTCTTTGATACTATCTTAAAGTAGGTATCCCTCTAGCAGTCATCACTGATGGACAGTGTACTTTATCACCGCCAGTTGTGACTGAGGTGGTGCTGCCTGTATACACTAAAGCTACAGGTTTAAAAACAGTATCTGAGGGACTGGAGAACTGGCTCAGTGATTAAGAGCACTGGCTGCTCTTGCAGAGGATCCAGGTTCAATTCCCACATGGCATCTAACAACCATCTGTAATTTCAATTCCAGGGCATGTGATGCCCTCGTTTGGCCTCTGCTGGCATTGGGAACACTTAAGGTGGTGCACTTACATGTATGCAGGCAAAACACTTAGACACATGAAATAGAAATAAGAAAATAAATACAATTAAAACAAAGGACAGTAGTGCGTCTTCTTTCATGTACCAGTTTCTCTCTTGATTCCTCCCCTGGTGGAGAGTGAGCTTGTGTCTTGCTTGGGCTCACAGAATGAACGCAACTTCTCTTGCACATGGCTGCAGTTTGAAGTACTCATTAGGCCTGCCTTCATTTAAGATGATAAAAGTCCTCCATTGGCACCTTTCTTTGTTTTTATGCTGTATTAAATCCACCAGCACCCAACCTCTCTATCCTTTTCTTGCAATTGTATTGTAAGTTTTGTCTTAAAAACTTGAATTATTTTTTAATTGAGTTAACTCTTGCTCATATTTCTATAGTTTAAGCAAAATCCATACTGGCACAAATTTCAATCCACACTCTATTTACAAAACTGCCATAGAACCAAAAACAAACATTTATGTAAAAGCCACACATGGTGGCACATGCATATAATCGTAGCATGTGGGAGCCTGAAACAAGAAGATTGCAAGTTCAAGGCCAGCCTGGTTATACAGTGAGGCCCTATTTCAAAAATCAATCAATCAGTAAGAAAAAGACACACACACAAAATGACAGAGTTAGAAAGCAAAGAAAACCTTGTAGCCTTAGGTGCAGATAAAATCTGTCTTCTGTTTAGAAAACCACAGACTTAAACCTTCTGACTAGAAAAAGTAATGGACCATGAGCCACTCATTAACAAATGTATTTTATTCTGAAAATCTGACATTTTATTAAAATGATATATGTGCCTTCTTAATTTTTCACCAGTTTGTCATATGCGCAGACCATTCTCTCCTGCTGTTATGCATGTCAATAACATGGACTGATCGCAGGAAAATACTGTGGTAGGAGAGGGCCACGTGAAGTCATAGCCAAATCCTCTGAATCTCAAGAGTTGTGTTTATTATTTTAGAGATCTGTCTTCTTCAAAATTTAAGCTTTTACATCTCAAAAATCATTGATACCATCTTATAATTTTGGAACTAGGCATATTTTATATAATATGTATAAAATGCATTAGAAAATTTATTTTCCATAAAGCAGAGCCACAGGATGTGACACAAATAGAAGGCTTATAATAGCAGTGTAACGAATTAGATGACCTTATTCATGAGTGTGTTTCCTCTGTCCCTTTTGTAGTGTTGAGATCTTTAGAGAACCCAGCGTGTCTCTTGGCATCAGTATTGTTGGTGGACAAACGGTCATAAAACGTCTGAAGAATGGGGAGGAGCTTAAAGGCATATTTATCAAACAAGTTTTAGAAGACAGTCCTGCAGGAAAAACCAATGCACTTAAAACTGGAGATAAAATACTTGAGGTAAGTGAAGTTTAAATAATATTTTTGCTTGAAATGTATTTGAATCAGCAAAAGAATCACCTGGAAGACATTTCTTCCTCTCTTGGTCTAAGGGGTTTAACTGACAACTTCTATTATTTATTTATTTATTTATTTATTTTTATCTTTTTGAGACAGGGTCTCCCTGTAGCCCCAGCTGGCCTAGAACTCACTATATGGACCAGGCTGGTCTTGAACTCACAGAGATCTGCCTGCCTCTGTCTTCTAAGTGCTGGAATTAAAGGCGTGCACCACCACGCCCAGCGTAACTTCTATTTGTAACACATTAGTTTATGTGCTGTATACACAAGTGCCTCAAGCTCGTGAGGTGAAGCAAACAAAGTGGTAAAACCAGAAGCTCAGCTGATTGAAGAAGTGCCCCACATAGAACAGGGCAGACAGTGGGCGCTGTGCTTCCCCAACTCCTTTAATGAATTCTGGGTTTTGTGCTTGCGTGTCAGTGTGCACTTGTTTATAGAGAGTGGACCTTGGGGATGGCTGGACCCATGGTTCATATGTGTTTGGCTTTGTGGGAACTGAATTTTATTATATAAAAGACATATTTATTATTTTTATGTATATGCATGTGTGTCTATGAGTTTATGAATGCCATGCGCAAGCAGGGACCTGAAGAGGCCAGAAGAAGGTGTCAGATTCCCTGGAACTGGAGTTACAGGCAGTTGTTAGCTGCCATGTGGGTGCTAGGAACTGAACCCGGGTCCTCTTTAAGAACCACAAGTGCTTTTAACTGCTGAGCCATTTCCCAGCCCCAGGAGCTAAGTTTTAAAGGCACATGAAAACACCAAGAACGCCAAGATCTGAGTGGATTTGTGCATTGGGCTTCTTGAATGACACCAGCATGGCTATCCCCAGTCCCAGACCCACAATCTGCTTGCATTTTTTTTTTTTTTTTTTAATTTAGACAAAGGTTCATGTAGCTCAGGTTGGCCTTGAACCTGATAGCTGAGGCTGGTCATGACTCCTGATCCTCCTGCCTTCACCTCCCAAGTGTGATATTACAGGTGTGCGTCTTCATGCCCAGCCATTTCCTGCTCTTCACTCCTGCTTCCTGATGCTGGTCATCAGCCCCATGTTTCAGTCCTGATAGATGAAAGGGGCTCTGGAGGTTTGGAATTGAAGTCTGACTTCTGTCCATTTTACTTTTTATTTGTCCTTGGACAAAATATTAGACATACTTTATTCTTAGTTTCCAGGAAAATGGAAATGTTTATTCAAACTCAGTAGCATATTATGAGGATTAAACTAAAGAACCACATAAAGCTACTGTAGGAACAAATTTTGGGGTGCAGAGGTTGAATATTATATATCTGAAATGCCTACAAATGTTTTGAACTTTTTGAACAAGGGATGTGTAACTTATATTTATGCTCATGACCTGTTTCAATAGAATTTTAAGCACATTGCTAATATGGTGGTAAAGAATATAATCAAATGTCCCGTCCTTGGGTGATTATGTGATAATGTGGGAAAGGAGAGATAAACAGTAACAATAAACAAGTGAAGTGTAGAATGCTGGTCTATAGCAAGCAGCTGCTGAGAGAACAGAAAGCAGGGGAAGAGAGAGGAGGTGTGGGGGTGGTTTGAAGACTGCAGTTGGAATTTTAAGTTTAGTTATGAAGGATCATGCTAATGGGACAGACACTAATACTGGGACAGAGAACTGGGTGGGTATATGGAGAAAGAAAGCTCCAGGTACAGAGAACTTAAGCCTGATGCTCTGAGGTTCACATTTGCCTGAATGTGTTTGAGGAGCAGCAAGAAGTCCAACACTGCTGTGGTAGAGCAATGAAGGCTTAGGGCCAAGAGCAGAGGTTTGCTTGTGGGAAGCCATCTGTGTAGAGCTGGAGGATATGCAAGGTCCTCTGCTCTGGATGCAGAGGAGACGGTTATGAGAAAGTCAGTGTTTATCAGGATGATTCTGGCTTCAGGATAGGGAAGACCTGAGAGGAAAGACAGGGTGGACGAGGAGGAGTACAGGAGACAGGCATGTCTCAGACTGTGGATCTGTTCTGAAGGCAGAGTCATAGGACTTAACTGACAGATGAGAGGAGTCAAAGGAGAAAGAGGCAAAAGTCAGTCACAAACTTGAGGAGTCACACATAATTTCCAAGTATTGAAGTGGGGAAGGCTGTGGGAAGAACAGATTTAGGAGATGGGTTTTAGGTATTTTAAATCTGGGCATGTCATTTGGCATCTGAGTAGCTATGACAGGAATTTTGTGTACTAAGCTTTCCCTTCCTTAATGTCAGTGTAGAGTTGTGTTTATCACCCATTGGCATTATGTCTGTTCATCCTTGTACTTCTGCTAGTTTCTGCAGTACATGCTTAGTGGTTTTATTATTAGGCACTTAGAACCTCATGTCTTCTTGGTGACTCAATTTTTGCTTTTTAGTTATTTTTTATTGTCATATATTCTTTGTACATACAATGGGCTTTGACTGCATTCACCCCTGTACCCTTTCTTTCCTCTCCCTCCCCTCTCCAGTTAGTCTCTTTTCTCTCTCTCTCTCTCTCTCTCTCTCTCACACACACACACACGTACACACACACAGTGTCACATATTTCGTATATATGTATATAACACTATACACACACACACACACTAGAGTCCACATATGAGAGAAAATATGGTATTTGTCTGACTTAGTTTACTTAATATGATGATCTCTAGTTGAATCCATTTTCCTACAAATGTCATTTCATTCTTTTTATATGGTTTAAATAGAACTCCATTGTGTGTGTGTGTGTGTGTGTGTGTGTGTGTGTGTGTGATTCTCCTTGTCTATTTGCTGGACATCTGTGCTGATTCTATAACTTAGCTGTAGCAAATAGTGCAACAGTAAGTACAGGTGTGCAGGTATCTCTATATGATGGACATCTGTGCTGACTCTATAACTTAGCTGTAGCAAATAGTGCAGCAGTAAATACAGGTATGCAGGTATCTCTGTTCTGTGCTGACTTAGATTCCTTTGGGTACATATACCAAAGTGGTACATATACTATAGCTGGACCATAGAGTTGTTCAATTATTAATTTTTTGAGGAACCTCCACACTGAATTCCATAGTGGCTGGTCTAATTTACATTCCCCTGAGATGGAATCTCAATGTAGTATTCATTTGCATTTCCCTGTTGATTAAGGATGATTAACAAATTTTCATATGTTCGTTAGCAGCTTTTTTATCTTTTTAGCTTTTTTTAATATA